AGTGAGGTTCGCCGGGTCCCCGCGTCGGCGCGGATCGGGGCCACTGGACGCGGGCAGGGATGGAGCCCGGCCCCAGGGCCTGGGTGGGGCTCCCTGCTGACCGCGACCGGACCCCCCTTGGCGTTCCACGGAGGGGCCGGGTTGGCTTTTCAGAATCGAAGGTGAAAGGCGACAGACAACACCCCGAGAGCACGCAGCCGCTGCTGGCGGTACTGGGGCTCGAACTCGGGGCCTAGTGCTGCTAGGCCGGCGTCTCTCCACCCAGACGCCCACCTCCAGGGGTGTCCCGGAGAAAATGCAAGCTCCCCGGCCCAGGGGTTTGAGGGAGCTAGGCGGGCTTGGGGCTGTCAAATTCTGCGCGTATTGCGGGGAACCTGACCTTAGGATCCCTCTCACCAGCCACAGTGGTGAAGCTGGCCTGGGGGGGAGCTGGCCTGGTCAGCCTTCTTCCTTTTGTAAGATGAGCTGAGCTTCGGCCTTGTGGGTCCCTGAGTCCAGGTGTGAAGCCTTCCTTAAAGCTGGACTTGAAGGGGTGGGGTCCCCAGATTGCTGCCCCCAGCCTGCCCGGACCTTCGGGGTCCTTCTTCTCTGCGGTTCTTCCAGCCAGATGCAGCTCACAATGGCCCTGCTAGGTCCGGGCAGCAGGTTTTTGAAGTGGTGCTTGAAGGTGGTAGTTGTGGCTGTTTTCTTTCTAGCAGTACTGGCGTTTGGTGCTTACCTACACAGGCACACTTCCAGTCCTGAGTTTTGCTTTTTATTTTTTATTTGAGACAACGTGTTACTTCCTACTGGAGTGTAGCCTAGAGCTCGGTCCACCCAGGAGGCTTCTCTGTGGCTGAGATAAATAGGTGCACCACTGGATAGAGATCTTTCGTGAGAAGAGGGTGTGTGTGTGGGGGTCTCACAAACATTTCTACCTAGGTTGGCCTTGAACCTTAATCTGGAAACCTTCCAAGGAGCCAGGGTTACAGGTGTGAGCTGTTGATGTTTTGGCTGGTTCTTCAGAGATCTTTTTTCTTTTTCTTTTTTTTGGTACTGGGGTTTGAACTCAAGTGGCAGGCACTTTACCACTTGAGCCATGTCCCCATGCTTTTGTTCTTTGTCAGATAAGTTCTTGCAGAATCATATGATTTAAGAGTTGAGATGAGGTCTCTATAACTTTTTTTTTTTTTTGCCTAGGCTAATCTCAAACAGTGATCCACTAATTTCTCCCTCTTAAATAGCTGGGATTACAGGCATGGCCAAGCTGAAATAACTTACTTTGTCTTGATTTTCCTAGACATGGACTTGGATGCTATTACCAAGCACTCAGCACTCCATGCGAAGCCCCCCGGCCTCACCTTCCACTATGGGACTGCTGGATTTCGGATGAAGGCCGAGCTTCTGGACCACATCATGTTTCGGATGGGGTTGCTAGCTGCTCTGAGGTCCAAGCAGACCAACGCCACTATCGGGGTGATGGTCACAGCCTCGCACAACCCTGAGGTATGCACAGCTCCAGCCCTGTGCCTTCTCATTTACGTGTGATTCGAACCACTGTCAGAGACAGTCACGCAGCTCCCGATACCTCCGAGGAGGTGCAGAGTGCCAAGTGCTGAGTGTCCCTACTAGAAAAATAGCAGGCTGTCAGTAGTTGCTGAGAGAGAGGTTCAGTAATGGAATGAGATGAACAGTGATGGGAAGGCAGGGGGGTGAGAGGCAGACTCTCGAGACAGACCTTGAAATTCTCAGACTGGGATTCTTGCAGTTGTTAATCACTTCCTGCTCTGAATAAATAGCCAAGCCAGGAGGCCTGGGGTCTGACAGTGAGCTCAGATTTGAGTAGGAATGAGGTTCCAGTGCTCAGGACAATTCAGGATTCACTGCAAGTGTTCATTCCTTTTAACACTTTGCAGTTTTTCAGTCTTACTGAAGTACAGTTTACAAAATCTTGCAGGTACTTGAGTTAGACAGTGTCACATTTTGATGGTTGTATCCATTGTGAAATGATTGCCATCATCAAGTGAGGGAACACACTCCTCACCTCGAAGTTGCCTTTGGAAACTTAAGATTCGTGCGTAACAACTTGGAAGTACGCGATCCATCACTGCTAACTCTAGGTGCCATCCTGTGCTGTAGTCCCAGAGCCATAACTGCAGGTCTGTTCCTTCCACCTCCCTCTCATTTCCTTCCATCCCGTGCTCACAGCTGCCTCAGTTTCCTCTCACTGAGTGCACCTGGGCTGGGCACTCTGCGGTCGGGCATGGCTCGCGCTTTGTCTCTCTCTGCCCCAGTGTCTTCTCCAGGTCCGTCCATGCATGTGCCAGGACTCCCTCCTCCTCTCTTGATGAATAGCATTTTTTTGTCTATCGGTTATCATGTTTTCTTTTCCCATTTATCCACAGACATTTAGTTTATTTTCTGTACCTTGGCTCATCTTTTGATGATAACGATTAGATATTTTATTTCCTATTAGCTGTTGTCTCCGCAGTGGCTTGAATGCTGGGCTTCTCTCTGTAGGACATACCAAGCTTGTCTTGGGAGTTAAATTCATGGCGAGTTGAAGCCCTTATAGGTTAGTAACTGATTATAATCTCTTCTTATCCCCAAATGAGCACAGTTCTTGTCCAGCCTCTAAATGTGTGATCACTGTAAATGTGAAAATACCCACATGTCCCTCTTCAGTGTGACTGACTGATGGGTAACTTAGGAAAAGCCCTCACTGATGGCTTCTTCCAGAACAGCTCACAGCCATTTTGCTCAGCGGGCACTCACTCTGAGCTGTGCCTTTCCTTCTCAGAGCTGTCCAGAGTAGCAGTGAGAAGGATCTGTGGTGTTCTGCTTGATGGGCAGAGATGTATATGACAGCTTTTTTTTTTTTTTTGGTCTGCTGTGGGGCTTGAACTCAGGGCCTGGGAACTGTCCTTGAGCTATTATGCTCAAGGCTAGCACTCTGCCACCTGAACCACAGCACCACTTCCCACTTTGTTGGTGGTTGAAGATAAGAGTCTGACAAACTTTTCTACCTGGGCTGGCTTTGAACTGCACTCCTCAGTTCTCGGCCTCCTGAGTAGCTAGGATGAAAGGTGTGAGCCATCAGCAACTGGCTTAAACGGCACCTTTTAAAAACCTGTTTGGTGGCGTGGTGGGTAGTTGTAGGAGTTGGGTTGATGTGCTGTTTTCATTGCACTATTGACACCTATCAGCTGTCTTGCCACGAGCACCTCCTTTGGGCCGGTTTTCTCTCTGTGGTGTGGATGTGTGAGGTGTGCACCTGGGCCTGTGTTGGTGTGTGGCGTGGGGCAGTAACCCGGGCAGCCGCTCTGCCATGCTGGGGAGCATCAGCAAATGCGCCTCCCATCTTGCAGTGCACACACCGCTCATGTTTCTCTTTGAAGGAAGACAATGGGGTGAAACTGGTGGATCCTTTGGGGGAGATGCTGGCGCCCACGTGGGAGGAGCATGCCACACGGCTGGCCAACGCCGAGGATGGAGACGTGGCCCGTGTGCTTGTGGACATCATGGAGAAGGAGGCGGTGGAGCTGCCACAGGATGCTTTCGTGGTGATTGGCAGAGATACCAGGTGACAGCCTGGGGGGGGAGGGGGAGGTTGGGGAGGGCCATGGGGACAGGTGTGTTCGCACTCACCACCAGAGGGCGTGCCTACGCTGCCTGAGTGGCCATCCTCGTATCCATGGTGCAGCCCACAAATGTGTAATGTGTAATTTTGTAATGTTTACAAAACACCGTGTCTACCGTGTCCCTCGGTAGGTGCATCTCATCTGCTGCAGAGGTGGGGTGTTGTTGAATGCATTTTCTTTAGAGATTTTTTTTTTTCTGGCCAGTCCTGGGGCTTGAACTCACAGCCTGGTACTGTCCCTGAGCTGCTTTTGCTCAGGGCTAGCATTCTACCACTTGAGCCACAGCTTCACTTCTGGCTTTTTCTGTGTATGTAGTACAGAGGAAGTGAACCCAGGGCTTCATGCATGCTAGGCAAGCACTCTTATCACTGAGCCACCTTCCCAGCCCCTTTAGAGATTTTTTTTAAAATAAAGTTATCATTGGTTGAGCTACCTATACCATTTCCCTATTTGGGAATTCACTGTAAACCATTTTCTCTAAATCTTTGTCCTTATAGAAAAATACTGGCTTTTACCTAACTATATAGTACAAATCTTTTTGTATATATAGATCTGTAATAATCTGCCTGATGTGTAGATGGGTAGTTTTTGACTTTGTAGGATGGCACTCAGGAGTTGTATCGTTGATGGCGCTAGCTAGCTCACAGCTCTGCACACACTGAACTGTACCGCATGGGACATGCGTCCAGTGGTGCTGCTCATTTTAGCACCCAAGTGGCTGGAGTTAGGATATCCTCTTTTGTCTGTTTTCAGAGTTCATTTAAGAGGCAGACATTTCCCAAGCCATTATTGTGAGAGCTGGGTAAAGTGTTTCCGGGCTGCTGGTGTCTCTCGTTGGAGGCGGTGGCTTCCAGCCAGGATGCGGCGGCCTTAGCGCTTTAGGCTTGGTAGCACGTGGTTCCACCTTAGTTCCGTGCCAGCTGGTCTCTGAGGTCAGCCCGTCCCTGAGGTCAGCCCGTCCCTGAGGTCAGCCTGTGTGTGTTTTCTCTTGGCCAGGCCCAGCAGTGAGAATCTTGGCCAGTCTGTGAGAGAAGGCGTGGCTGCTTTCGGAGGCCAGTTCCATGGTATGTCGCCATTTGGGATCAAAGTTCAGCATTTTAAAGTTATAAGGTAGTGCATGTCTGAGGATATGAATGAACAGAAAAAGTTAAACATTAACTCTTAGATATAAAGGTGAACTTTCTGAGTCTTTTGTATATTTTTCCTGTGCAGGCAATATGCTTTCACCTGTGGGGTAAAACTACCCGTAGAGGATTAGCCACTGATAGAAACAGCTTCTTTTTCCTTCTCCTCCTCCTTTTCTTTTGGTGGGTCGTGGAGCTTGAACTCTGGGCCGGGGCACTGTTCCCCGAGCTTTTCAGATCAAGGAGAGTGCTCTACCACTTGAGCCACAGTGCCAGTTCTTTTTCTGCATGGTTTATTGGAGATAAGAGTCTTGCCCAGGCTGGCTTTGAACTGCAATCCTCAGATTTCAGCCTCCTGAGTAGGTAGGATTACAGGCCTGAACCACCAGCACCCAGCTCCTTTTCCTTTAGTCAGGCTGAATTGATTATACAAACCTTTGAAGCTACTTAGTCCAATTTTGAGAGTCTATTTTAGATCGTCCCTAATAGCTCTCATCTGTGGAGTTAGCTGGTCCTTGTGTCTTTGACAGGTGTTTCTTCCCATGTTATGAAATGAGAGGGATTTAGAGGCAGAGGGAATTGGAGGCAGCAGAATGGAGGCTGGGCTTTTCTTGGCACAGAGTTCACACCATTTGTTAAGGCAGGGACGTCACTGTGGTACGAGGTGAATATCTCCCTGGTATCGCTCTTTCTCATTAAAAAAACATGTCAGCTGGGCACTGTGGCTCACGCCTGTAATCCAAGCTACTCAGAAGGCTGAGATCTGAGGATCGGAGGTTCAAAACTAGCCCTGGCAGGAAAGCCTGTGAGACCCTTATCTCCACTCAAGCCACAGCTCCACTTCTGGCTTTTTGGTGGTCAGTTGGAGATAAGAGTGTCACAGAATAGTGCTAGCCTTGGGAGAAAAAAAAAAGCTCAGGGATACTGCACAGGCCTTGAGTTCAAGCTCCAGAACTGGTGTATACATGTGTGTGCATGCATGGCACACACACACACACACACACACACACACACAAGCTAAGTCCTCTCTCAACTTTTGATGTTTGCTCTAAAGCTCTGGCTGTGTTCCTTTTTTGGTTAATCTGGCCTTTTCTTCAGCTGCTTTGCTTGCCTTCTGTGCTGCAGGCGAGTCTCTGTCTCTCTGTCTTTTGGTCAGTTTGTCTGTCTTTTTCTCCTGAATTCTGGCAGCCAGAATGCTGAGCAGAGATGTGCACTGGAGCTCAGGCCCTGGTCCTGGAGGAGCCTTGGGGCCTCCTCGTGGGTATGCCTGGCCTGTGACCTAAATGAAGCCTGTAAGAATTCACAGCTCTGTTATGGAGGGTGAGTGTGCAGCTTTGTATGCAGATCCGTCTCAGCTCAGCTTCTTGTTTGGCTACACTCATCCCATGCCTTCTCCTCCCTCTCCCTGCAGACAGGGCACTTCTATTCTCTGTGATCACTTATTCCTTGTGGTTTCTGAGCCATCCTCTCTCCTGCAGTAGCTTGGGTTACATTTTTTGTTGTTGTTGTTTTTTGTCAGTTCTGGGGCTTAAATTCTGGGCCTGGGCACTGTCCCTCAGCTCTAGGCTAGCACTCTACCACTTGAGCCACAGCAGCACTTCTGGATTTCTGGAGGGTTACAGGGGAACAAGCCTCATGGACTTTCCTGCCTGGGCTGGCTTTGAACCACAATCCTCATATCTCAGCCTCCTGAGTACATAGGATTACAGGCGTGAGCCACCAGCATCCGGCTTACTTAGGCTACCTTTACTCATGATTTATTTACTCAAATTTTTTTTCCCACCAGCACTGAGTTTTTAATTTGAGACCTTGCACTTCCCAGGCAGGTACTTTACAACTTGATCCATGTCCCTAATCCTTCAGATGTGTTTCAAATTGTAGGCTTTGTCCATGGAGCTGGCCTTGTGCTCAGCCTTTTCACACATTTTTGATTACCCGGTCTGTATACCACCATGTGAGAGACACATTCTGTATCCTGCATGTGCAGATTATAAGAGGTAATAGTTTCAGTAAAAGCCACTCACATTTCTCTATCTCACCAAACACATCCAGCAAGTCTGGTCATGTCGACATTTCCCTGAACCCCTAGGGCTGGGCCTGCCCGCGTTGTACAAAGCCCTGCAGACCAGGGAAGACTTTGCTCCCTGAGTCCCAGGAGGAATACGCTCAGCACACAGTGCTCACCACAGAGCACTCAGCACAGCACTCAGCACAGAGGATAGGGTCACCTGCACAGGAGTCTGACTTGATGCCTTGGAAACCTCTTGCACTTCTGTTTCCAAAGAGGTTGCTTCTCTTCCCTGTCGTCTTTCTCTTGTCCAGAGTGAGTTGGGTAGCTTGCAGTACCACGAGGAATTACTTGTATAACATTTGATGTTTATGCTGGCGGCGCTTCACTTCCTGCCTGCTCCCTGGGCTGCCCGGTTCTTTCAGGAAGGGGAGACTTAGCCCGGGAATGAGTTCAGTGGATGTTCGCATCTGGGTAGTTAGAAAGTCAGCTTTTGTTTTCTGAAGTGCTGGTTTTAAGAGCTCTGACACCTTGCCGTCCCTCCGGTGTGAATATATGTAAGCTGCTGTGGTTTTGTGTCTGTGTCTCATGACAGATTACGGCCTGTTAACCACGCCCCAGCTGCACTACATGGTGTGCTGCCGCAACACAGGCGGGCGATACGGCAAGGCCACGCTGGACGGCTACTACCACAAACTCGCCGCCGCCTTCCTGGAGCTCACCAAGCAGGTGACCAAGCCCCTTACAAGCCAATCACCTCCACGATCGGTTGAACAGCTTAGTTCATCACCCCCTACCCCTCTCTAGCCCCTCCTTTGTCTCTGGCATGTCTCTAGGGCTTCTGCTCTGGCCCGTGCACACAGCAAATGGTGTGTTGGTATGGAGGGCATTGCCAGCGAAGCACAGCGTGGCTCTTGCTTGAGGCCATCCTGAGTAGGTGTGGTGATGCACTGGATTGTAGAGTTAATGTAGGTGCTGCTGGCTTGGTATTGGAGAGAGTTCTAGCAAGAAAGATTTTCTTCAGCTAGAGAGAGATTCCAGGGGTGTGGTTCCTTAGGCTGAGTTGATGTCACTGATAGTCACAGCTAGCCAAAATGAACCGTTTGGGGGTTGGAAGTTGAGAGAAGAGAAAGACAATTGATAAATCACCCAAAATCCTCCCCCAGAAAACACAAATGGACATGCCGAGTACCACACGCTATGGGGAGAAGACAGGTGATGGACGCCCGTCTCTTTTCCTGTTGGGTGACTGGCAGCTAGTTACACACTCATATTTCTAAGGGACGTTATTCAAGGGTAAATTCTAATAAAACATCATTTCCATTAACTGCCTCACTGTCCAAGGTGTTGTCTGTTTTCCTCTGGTGTTTCACAAGTTCCTGGGTTAAAGTAGATGCATACGCAGACGTAATGGAAGGTGTTTACTTGTGCGCGTGGCTGTGTGTGTATGTTCATGCCCGTGTGTGACTGGGAGTTTCCTCCTGTGCTCTCCCCGGAAGGCTTCCTGCAGCGGAGATGAGAACGTCTCGGTGAAGGTGGACTGCGCCAATGGCGTCGGGGCCCTGAAGCTGAAGGAGATGGAGCCCCGCTTCTCCCCAGTGTTGTCCGTCCAGCTGATTAACGACGGGACCAAAGGGAAGCTCAATCATCTCTGCGGGGCCGACTTTGTGAAAAGCCACCAGAAACCTCCTCAGGGTAGGTGGCGTGGGCACGTGGGCATATCTGGGTCTCGAAGTGCTTGGGGCCTGTGGTGAGTGGAGGTGGCCACGTGAGCTGAGAACCGCACAGCTGATTTCACACATTTAGAAATTGATGGTCAGTGCTAGTCAAGACACGACTGTTGTGTGCGGGAATTGGGGTCTGGTGAAAGACCAGCCGGGGTGTGTGGGAGCCTTGGCTCCCAGACTTAGGGTCACCTCAGAGTGGCCTTGTGAGCACACACATCTGGGGTAGGATATGCATCAGAATTTGAATAGCAGTTGGTATTTCCGTTATGTGCCCAGATGTAGCTGATGAGTCAGTCCTAGTGGTTAAAGCTGGCCAGGGTGCAGCCTCTCCCCTGAGCTTAAAGGGGTACAGTGTGGCGGGGGAGCAGAATGAATGTCCAGAGCACAGCAGCTTGCTGTGTGTGAGTTGGGACTTTGCCCAGCTACGAGCTGGGTCACTGTTGGGGAAAGAGCTGGTTGCTGAGTTCTGGGGTCACCTGCATTACTGATCCTAAGTTACCAGCCTGGAACCAAACCTGCTGACAGTTCAGCCATCAGAGTTGCCACTGTTTGGAAATTCCCTAAATGACTCAAATACCAGACCCTGAAATCTCTTTAAACATCACAAAATAGCTGCACCTGTGGGTCACACCTGCAGTCCTAGCTACTCAGATCCTCATTGAGATCTAAGGACTGAGAAGTTCAAAGCCAGCAGAGGCAGAGAAGTCCAATTAACCAGTGTTGGAGGCGTGGCTCAAGAGGTAGAGGCAGATTTGAGGGGGGAAAAAAAGCTGATTAAGAGTGAGAGGCCCTGCGTTCCAAGCCCCAGAACAGGCAAACAAAACACCCCAAGCCCCAAAACAGTAGCAAACATTTAACACAGGAATCTGTGCCACCCCATTTAAACCACATCCTAGAACCACTGTCCTTTGTGTTGCTCCTGGTCTCCTGCTGTTCTGCCTCACTGTAGGAAGCTCCCAACCTTGCAGACTCTCCACTGAGTTGCTCAGTTGATATGGACTTTGCAGACTCTTGAGTTCGGTATTACTCATTTATTCATTTACGGAATATTGAGTCCCCACACCCAGATTGGCACTGGGACTGCAGTGTGAACAAAACCTGTCAGGCATCCCCCCCCCCCCAAATCCTCTCATCTCTCTTCATCAGCCTGCCAATACACTAAGGAGCAGCCAGACTGCTAACAAATTTGGGCTAATGGTTGCTAGGGTTCCAATGATTTCATCGGCCAGTTTTCTCTCACAGGCTATAATTCACTCTTAATTGCCAGTGTTATTTATCATTGGTGGTGTTAACAAGTGAAAACTAACTTCTGGTAGGATTAAAGCACACATTTTATCCATTGATTTTTGTGCATGCATGTGTGTATGTGCTGGTCTTGCGGCTTGAACTAAGGTTCCGGGAACTATCCCTTAGCTTATCTCCTTTGCTTGAAGTTTGAGCTCTTCCATTAGCCACAGCTGCACTTCCAGCTCTTTGGTGGTTAATTAGAAACAAAAGTCTGACATTTTCCTGCCTGGGCTGGCTTCAAACCACAATCTTCAGATTGCAGCACTCCTGCATAGAGCTAGGATTACAGGCATGATCCACTAGTGCCTGGCTTTTTTTTTTTTCCAAAACATAAAAGACAACTGTCATTAGATGAGTTATATTTGGAATCCCTGTAAATCTAAAAAAAATCATCTCAAATCTCAAAACACCTACAGGAAATTTGTTTAGGCAAACTGTCTTAAAGCCAGTTTATGTGAAGCTTGCTATAAGTTTCAGCATAACTAGATTTTGGATGCTCTGTTTTGAAAGAATTTGACCTATCTATATAGTGTATCAATTAGACACTTTTTTTTTCTGGTCCTAAGGCTTGACCTCTAGGTCTGGGAGCTGTCCTGAGCCTTTTGTGCTTGAAGCTAGTTCTCTACCACTGGAGACACAGCACCACTTCTGTCTTTTCCTGAGTAGTTTACTGGAGATAACAGTCTCACAGACTTTCCATCCCAGGCTGGCTTGGAACTGTGATCCTCAGATCTTAGCCTCCTGCATAGTTTAGGATTGTAGGCGTGAGCCACCAGCGCCTGTCTCTCACTATTTAAGATCAAGACTTTTTTATTTGCAAGGAAAAGTTTTAAACATGTTTTGAAGTATTTACAGTGGACATGCTGTTCTGAAACATAATTCTTATTCTGATGCTTTATTGAAAAAAATAATTGTAGTTACTAGTGCAGAGGAAAGCTGACTGCCTTTTTATTTTGGTGCACCTGTCTAGGAGCTCGAACTCTGGGCCAGCATCTGGTTTTTATTTCCACGTCTTTCTGTCCTGTGTCCTAGGACTGGAAATGAAGCCCAACGAGAGATGCTGCTCCTTCGACGGCGACGCGGACAGAATCGTGTATTATTACTGTGATGTGGACGGTGCCTTCCATCTCATAGACGGGGACAAGATCGCCGTGTTGATCAGCAGCTTCCTGAAGGAGCTGCTCCTGGAGGTGAGCTGGGCCCGGCAGCCTGTGCAGCCAGACGTGCTGATGCACTCATCATCCGTTTCTCAGCCATGTGAATGTCCCCCAGAGGCACAGTTTATGGGAAATTCCACCTATTTGGGGCCAGAAAATACAGGAAAGAATTCCAGTGATCTCAGCCAGGGTGAAAAGGCCACGCCTTGGTTCTGGAAGATGATGCTCATCTCTTCCTACAGTCACTGGCTGAGGCTTAAGATTTGGGGCTTTATGAAGCTGTAGTTTATGACTGACATATTAGAATTCCCAAGTTGTGATAGAAAAATAACATTTTTAGAGATTTATAAGATTTGAGATTTATTTTTATGATAAGCTAAATAGTATGAAAATATGGGGGTTTCCTATTTGGAGACTCTTTCAGGCTGGCTTTAAGATGTAGCTGGAAATGATAATCTGGAATAGATACATTTTAAGAATTCAGTAATTAGTTTTTTTTATCTGTCATGGGGTTTGAACTCAAGGCCTCGGTGCTGTCTCTGAGCTCTTTTGCTCAAGGCTTGCACTTTACTACATCGCCACTTCCAGTTTTCTGGTGGTTAATTAGAGATAAGAGTTTCATGGCTCTTTCCTCCCCAGGCTGGCTTTGAACAGCCATCCTCAGATCTCAGCTTCCCGAGTAGCTAGTGTTACAACAGGAATGAGCCACCAGCGCCCAGCTAGTAACTAATTAAGTTAAAAAATTAAAGATACAAAGATCAGAGATCACTGCTTCTTTAAGAGGATTCATTGTTAAATAGTGCTCAAAAGTATTTTAGCCATTTTTTTCTGAATATTCATGAGTATTTTCAATAATTATACAAACTAATGCACATCTGAGTTGGCTGGAACTATTCTTCTACACTCTCCTGCGTGAGCTTGTCTTAGACTATTTTGATGGCAAGTTCAGTGTCATCATTTTTTTCCAGGTTGGAGAAATTTTCAATATTGGTGTTGTACAAACTGCCTATGCAAATGGAAGTTCTACACGGTATCTTGAAGAAGTTATGAAGGTATTAAATCATTTTCATTTTCTGGTAGTCTCTTGAGTCTAAGATACTTCTGTGAGGAAAATAATGTCCTCATAAAAGTGGACACAGTGTAGAGCAATCTGAACTGTTGTGCAGATAAGCATAAACAGAAATAAAAAAAACAGTTCTCTCTATACAGACAGGTAGAGAAACTCCCTCTTCCTTAGTTTTTTCTTTCATTTTGAAAACTTGTCAATTCCTTCTGTTGTAATATAAATACAGATATTTGTAAGGGCCAAATCAGTTTTATAACAGGATTTTACGTGTGTGTGCATGCAGCTCACATCTGCATGGTAGCTCTGGGGCTTGAACTCAGAGCTTTTGTGCTCAACAGCTCCACCAGGAGTAACTGTTTTAAGGAAGACAACCCGACACTCACTGTCAGGCAAGTTTAACTTGATGCCTGGCTCCAGGTTGTGAAAGTCTGCCTGCCATAGATAGGAAGCATTTGTTCTTTGAATCAAGTCAACGGTGCCATGAGAAATGAGATGTCAAGTCCTTTTATTGAGGACAAATGTGAACGAAAAAGTGGCCATGATACTTTTTTAATGGTAAGGCAGTTTTTTTTTCAGGACTATTATGGTAGGTACAAGCAAAAATGTGATAGAATTCTGTCGAAAAGACCTGGGGTTTTGGTCTGGCAGGATTCCATGCTAAAGCCATGTGTGCACTTGTGGTCAGTAATGGAACATTGCTGAGAAGAAGCCTTGAGTGTACTGGTGATGTGTGGATTCAGCTGAATTCTGGATAAATAGGCTATTTGATGAAGGCATGCCAGGTGATCATTTGCGCAGGACCATGTGTGGAGGTGATCAGACATTGGGTAAGGGGTTCTGTTAAAAGTGGGCTCTGGGAGGCCATGCCGTGCAGTGTCTAGGTGAGCTTGGGCTAAAGCTTGATCTAGAGAGGATCCCCATCGCTGACTTCTTTTTTCCCCTGTCTTGGGGCTTGAACTCAGGGCACAGTCCCTGAGCTGCTTTTGCCCAAGGTTAGCACTCTACCACTTGAGCCATAGCACTACTTCTGGCCTTTTCTGGGTATGTGGTACTGAGAAATTGAACCCAGGGCTTCATGCATGCTAGGCAAGCACTCTGCCACTGAGTCGCCTTTCCAGGCCCTCCCTGACGTTTTATGTTGAGAATATATGGAATGGGATGCATCTGCTGGGCTCCATGCAAGCAGCGGGGGTGAACTTTGTGTTTTTTTTTTGGGTCCGGTCGTGGGGCTTGAACTCTGGGCCTGGGCACTGTCCCTCAGCTCTTCAGCTCAAGGCTAGCGCTCTACCACTTGAGCC